CCGGCCGTAAGCATGCCTTAAAGGTCATCCAATTGGGCATAATTGTCTCAGAAGTAGTCTTGATGATCTCTAGGAGGGACACTGGTAGGGCAAGACGCCACAGTGCGCTCATTAACACACGACCACTTTCTTCTCGCTGGCACCTTTAAAAATCATGTTTCTTTAGGTTTACTATCCCATTGGTTCAGTGCCCATATCTTTTTTTGTTCGAACATTTTTCGACTGCGCTGTTTATAAAGCATAGGTACTTCAGATATCGATGTCATGGAATATGAGAGATTTCCCAGTATCGCTGCGTGTTTATTGTCCCGCGACGATATATAAGTTGGACGAAAATGGTTTTTGCAAGGTGTAGGCCGATGGTGTTTGAATGGTGATTACATTCGAACGAACTAGGTCGTAGTAGTAGTCGAGACCGACTAGGATTCCGGGAACCTTGACATTCACCTCGGATTTTTGAATTTGCGATGAAAATTTCCCCGTCTTGGAGGAATTTCTGCGTCCAATTTTTGTAAGTTCAACTGAGCGGAAAACTACCTTTGTTTTTATAGCCGTGTTGGCCTCATGTCCGTGTGCGCTACATATTTTTGAGGGTTACTATGTGACTTACGAACTTCTGCCGTATGTCCCCCTAATCCCTGACATTACGCACGTTTCTGTTTTGAGTTTCGGCAGACCTAATCGTTCTGCAAGCGCTTCTCGATTACGGTCTTTGAGCGCCAGTATCGAAGGAAGAATAATACTTTCTCGAAGGCGCTCGTTCTCTGATTCCAGACGTTTCCTCAGCTGTAGCACGAGCTTGTTTCATTTAGCTACTGCAAGCGTTGGCAGAATCACAATTCTCGAGTGTTTTGTTTGGAAGAGAGTGGTTGCTCTAGACTGTTGTAACTAAATCTAGCATCGCTTCCGCGTGTTAACAGTAATTTCTGTTTACTTGGCAGGATTGGGTCTCGGAAATCGGGTTGGGTACGCTGTTTTTCTCATTCCATTGCCCAACGATTCGAGGTGGAGGGTGGGTGTCCCCGTAGTTGGAACTTCCAATGCCCTTTTTCGTTCTAGACGCACACGGAGTAGTGTTGTAGCCCCACATCCCTTACAATCAAGGGTTACCGCAGTCGCTGCTAGAATGACTACTCTCAAGCATTTCCAGCAGTATTTTTTCTCTTTTAAGATGTCTCGACGGGCGCTGACGGTCAGTCACCGGTCTACACAAGGGAGATGCGTGACTGGTTTTAATTGCAAAAGCACACCCTACTTGGGCGGCTGGAACTTTCTGTCTTAAAGCCACATGCTCGACTTGGGTACTCTGGCACGCGCGTCGGGATGGACGTAGGTCTTCGACTTATCTCTTTGTCCAAGGCGTCCGAATGAGGGTTTTCAATTTTCATGGTATGCACGTTTCCTGATGCTCATGCACGAGAATGTCTTTAACGATCCGTTATGAAAATTTATTAATAGGGGTTCTGCACCGACATTGCGGTCGCTAGTTCACCTTATATCCGTACCCTGCCGACAACCATTTGTTGTACTAGGGTTTCAATTTGTATTGAAGGATTCTCTGGCAGCTTTCGCTTCCTTAGATGCCCGCTTCAAGTGCAACAGATTTTTGGCACGATTCTTTGATTGTTTGCTGGCTTATTGCGACCTTTTTGTAAGGGTTTCGCATCATCACTCGTCGTTTTTGTGGTATAGGCTTGGATGCCTTTTAGAATTTTTTCTGCTCCTTTGATCTTTCTTCAGCTAGAACTACTTTTGTCTAGTTCGTGATTTTCTCAGTTGTCATGGACACGTTCAATATAAGCCCAGAATTCCGGGAACTTCTGCTGGTGATTCCATTAATTTGGGGCACTGTAATGGATGGGGCTTTTATCGCCGATATATTTCGGCTGTAATTAAGGGCGCCACGCCATTGACGGGTAATTCTCGGAATTGGTATGCTTCCGCTTACACTTGTGCGCGAGTTATGTGAGGTGCTCGAGGCCTACGCACGAGATTTTTAGCTTGCGTTGCGACCTTTTCTAATTCTTTTTTGTGTCAACAGGTATGCTTTTAGAGGCCAGATACGCACAAATGCGCTAAATTCCCTGCGTAATTATTATAGATTTACAGAACTGATCTATTTAGAGTGAAGTATTCGTTACTCTAACTCGTCTATCTCTCAGCCGTTGAGTTCTTTTGTTCTGCCTTTGACTTAGTAGAAGAACAGATATCTTTCAAGAGGGTCGCGCTTTAGTTTGTAGAGTATATCCCTAGCCGCTTTGTATTTGTGTTAGGCAGGAAGCTTAGGCGAAGCACATCAGTTAGTGCACACTCTCATTATTAACTCATTATCCTTTGTGTGCTACACTACTTTCTGCCTACTATCCCCTTAAATTGCTCTAGGATTTCACTACGACTGGCGGCGCTATTAATTACAGCTCTTTTAATTAAATTAATTGACGAGCATTTTAGAAGTGGTTATGACGCGAATTAGGCTACAATTTAATAAACTGAATGGAAAACGAAATGTATACCGGTTAAGGATTAGGCTCTTGTCTTAAATTCTTATTCTTTGTGTGGTCCCTGCTCAGGGTTGCATCTCGGGTTCGATGTACAAGGGAATGTGTTGGTAGATATAGTGTCGGCTAGTCATTTTATTGGAGTCGACTGCCTCGGTTGTATGGGTCCGTGTAGAATTGACTCCACCTATCTAGGCCGTGACCTCACACTAGCAGGAGAGGTCAAGCATCCGAGTATCTAGTCGTCCCTATGGGTCATATCACAAGGTTAATAATGCTTGATGTGGCTTACCCTCTCAATCACCTTAGTCATACAAGGGTTGTGCCGCAGTTCTGGGTGGATAATCCAGAACAAGACAGTAAGTGATCTTGCTCGATAGGTCTTCCATAGTGCACGGCGATGTGGACCTTTCATGCGAGCGATTTTCGAATCCATGTTCGAAGCTGGAGGGGGCGAGGGGCCAGCATAGTCCCCGACAGCAGAGATCGCGCCTCTCTGACTAGCGAAAAAATATTGGACATCCGTGATCTGAGACTGCTTAAATAGAGCGGCGACTCGAGAGTTTAGCGACGAAGCGGGGTCGCAGTGATTTTCGTAACAGCTCAAGTCGTAAACGAAGAAGTATGTGATTACTCTTATTCAGGAGAGTGGAACTAGAACAGCAACACGTCTCTAAGCCGATCGCTAGTTTAAGCCGATATTAAAGGGTGGTCGTAAAGCGGTCAACTATGCTCACACTGCGATTATGCGCCAGCTTTCAGCATCTTATAAGCGATCTTTCATGGACGCAAAAAAAAAGTCCAGAAGTTTGATGAAGAGTCCAGATAAATAATGCCGAGCGAGATAATATCCTTTTTTCACAGCATCTATTGGATAGTTAACAAGCGGTCATCGAGAGCTTCCTTGCAGAAAAGGGTACCGTCATGATGAACTATTCGAGTGCATCAACAACTGTGTAAATGACTTACCACTCCAAAAGCTTGGACCCATGACACTCTGTTTGAAGCGCTATATGTAAAAGAACAACAAAAATCAGATCATGCTAGTGCATCCATGTTGGATCAAGCAAAAGGGATAGCTCTCTGCTTCATTCACAAAGATGGAACCTTTGGTCTTAGGGCGGTGGAACTTTGGTTAAAGAAAGCGGCGCCCGCTGCTGAAGTAATTATGGTTCCAGGTCCCTCCTTGTTCGAAGTAGTCGCAGCCCCCAAAGTCTAATTGTTAAGAATTTTCCACTCGCCGCAAATCTACAACAGAGAAAATGGCCAAGGACTAGTATTCTCGCGGCCTTGGAGCAGGCTTTTTGGAGTGGACGCGCGCTTTCCCTCTTGAGCGGCAAATTTAGCTAGTCCTTCTTCCTTGTCTTTATCTGCGAGGAAGCTGAAGAACTGTGCAGGAGGGGATCTTGGACATACAATCTCCGCTGAAAAATCTATTTGGGTTTGCGAAAGCGCCCACTACTACATAGCGCACGAATGTCGGCATGCTCAGGAGCGTCGGTGCCTTTTTAAGAGCCTTTCAACGTCCACCGCAAAAGTAATTCAGACTATTAAAATAGAGTTTTATTTTATGAAGCGATCATTTCTTGTACCTCACGTAACAACTCGTCATTACCATTATATTGGCGGTTCTACATTCCTAAAAACTGTCTGTGAGTAGGTATTTCCTGGAAATTAGTGGCACTACACCGAGGCAACAACCAAGACTACTTCAGATGAAAACATGCCATATTATCGCCTTTAATGGAGTCAAAGACAATGTTGCCCGTCTTCATTTTGAGAACTTTGGAACTGCGGAACTCCCTCTTCATTTGTGCTACCAACGGCTTGCCTTTTTATATGATGTGGAGTCTGATGATCCTTCGCTCATTACTTCCCTTATTAGAAGCTGCGTTCAGAACTTCGCGAACGCGCGGATCGGATCGCTTGGATGCGCGATCCGATCGCGCTACGTGAGGGTGAAATTAACTGCGGGAGGGGGTTAATGTGCGTATATGTTTATTGATCCATGTTGCTCTTTCTTTTTCCTTCCTCTTCAATTTGTGTTCATCGACGCTTCAAAATCCATGACATAGTACGCACATAAACCCCCTCCCGCATGTAATTTCACCCTCAGTAGCGCGATCGGAGTCGCGCGGTATCAGATCACGCGATCCAAGGACCGATCGCAGCGATCGCTAGAAGTCCTGAAACGCGCTCTCAAACAAATGGATAACTAAGTTATATCTACATAAGCAAGTCGACGACGCTGTCGTCGAGTGTTTCCTGCAAGTCTAACAGCCTGCTCTTCTGAGCTCTCTTGTTCGCGTCTCCGACGGTGACGTTCAGCGTCTCGCGCGAGTCGAGAAGAGCGTCCCTCAGAATCCTCTTGTTCGCGTAGACGGCGCAGCCGCTAAAGGCTGTCCGTCTGCCTCGTGGCTCGCTCTTTAGAGCTTTCGGAACCCGTCGACGTCGCTGACGTTCAGCGTTTTCCTCCCTCCGTGTGGAACATTCCTGGCCGTTTTACAACGCTCGTCTTCGATATTGTCGCTGAGAGTGATTTTGTTGGATAATTGATCGCTCTTCGGCAGTCTGCGATGCACGCCTCACCCGTTGGCGTCGAGCATCTTCAGCAAGCCGTGCACTCCTTTCTTCCACAGTTTCACTTGCACGCGCTAAGTGATGTCGTCCAGCATCTACGCCCAATCTGACACTTCTTTCTTGAGTATTTTCATTTTGACGCCTCTGCCGGTGGCGGGAAGACCCGGCCTCTGAGCGAGAAGACCTTTCTTCTTCCGATTCACGCATTCTTCGCCTACTGGCGTGCACCGTCACTATCGTAAACTCTTGGTCTACCTCTCGTCTTCTTTGTTCCATCTCTAGTCTCTAATCGTTGTGTTCCAACTCCTGTTAGACTGACGGATTTTTGAAGCTGCAATAGAAATTCCTCGGTTTTTAAGGGTTAACGCCGTTTAGACTGCAGAAATTTCGGCACCGAGCCCATTTTTAAATTGCCTAAGTCACCAAGTCCGTTAAAAGCTTGTATATAGGGGTACTTTAACATCCTGATTAGGAATATGACATGCACTCTTGTCGCTGGCGCCAAGAGAGGACACCACGATTACCTCCTGGGGTCAGCCTTAGCAGAGCGCAGATAATCTAGTGTCATCCATTTGCGGCAGCAACAAGAGTGAATGTCATATTCTCAATCAGGATGCTAAACTACCCCTATATACAAGTTTTTAGCGGATTTGGTGACTTAGGCAATTTGAAAATGAGCTCGGTGCCAAAATTTCTGGAGTCCAAAAGGCATTAGCCGTTTTCGAGCTCGTTTGCGGTTAACAATTAATTTAGTGAGACTGTATCAACGAATATACGAATGCAGAGCTAGAGAGCATTCTTGTCAAATTGCAACATTTGGCTGATGTAGCGCATGTGCCTCGTGATCTTGATAAGGTATCCGTCTATGCAGAACAAACAGGATGCCAAATGCTTTTTAACGCTGCTGCGAGCAATTATCAGGAAAGGTTTTTCGTGGGAGAAGACGTTGCAGTGGAAGGACAGAAAAATGAACAAAGTCATGATCACGGTTTCGAGGCAACCCAGGAAAATGGTTTTCAAAGCTCAGCGTGAACAATCAACTAAGAAACCCTTCAGAAGATGGCTCATAAAATACCGTGAGTGACCATTACCATGAGAAACGCGGTTCCTCAACAGAGAATAGAGGGTACGATTTGCCTAAAGACGAAATCTGAGCTGAAAACAAATGCACGCGAACAATTGCAGCTTCTATGACGTGTATGGTTTTTCTACATCATCCCCAGAAATCAGTATTCGTAACTGGGATGTGGAAACATTACGCTTTTCACACTGTTTGAAATGATATAAATGCCCACCCAAACCCGAGTTCCAATAGAACTCTTGAATAATCTTCATGAAAAATGAGAAGTACCTATACTACGCCAAAAATCAAAGTATCTGCGCTCCGCTATCACTCTTTCTCTGCAAATAAAGCCCACTCATTGACTTCAACAAACTTTGAGCGTTCTGATGACGAAGAATGGTCATGCATTAAGAACGTTTCAGGGATACTGAAAACAATTACTGTGCCGAACAGCTGCGAAACTTCTAGTATGGAGTCACCCATGAATAGCTACCTGGAAAGCAGTACTCTCGATCTGGAAAACCTCCAACGTCGAGCAGCTCCGACGTCGCTTCGGGCTAGGACATCATCTTAACCTCAGTCGCCAAGGCGCCAGTTAATGGTGGGGACCGGACGTACCTGTAATGGAGAGACCGATATTTTCTTCGTGGTCTCCGGACTGAAGGTGAGCGCTGGCGGTTACATCGGGCAACTCGAGAAGAATATCCTCTCTACATGTCGTCGCCCGTACCTTCTTGGAAACTTTGTACTGCTACAGGATTTGGTGACACTAAATGGAATCAAAGGGCGTCGGGGAAAACTCTCGCCTACTTGGAATTGAAGGTGTTGAGTACTGAAGAAGGTGGAATATCTTAGCAGGTAACCTGATACTAACAAGGGAGGTCGTTCAGGTCGTGGTGAGCTTTTTCAAAACGGTTTGTTAGCATGTTGTAGGGGTCTATGCGAGGACCATAGCATATGGGGTTCATTTTTGCTAAACGGTCTGGGAATGTCAAAAAAAGGTCAAAAATAATTCGAAAATAATGGACTTCTTAAACCACCTTATTCGCCTCTGTTCTAGCTGTGGCGTTGACAGGGTACAGTATGTAGGGTATCCTTTGAGCAGGCATGAAAAACAGCGCAAAATAAGGTCAAAATCCAAATGCTTTACTTGGCATGTGCTCAGCTGCATTGGAGTTCTCCGGTCATCTGCGCATTTCTCTTCAAGAGGTCCTGCATCTCGCATGTCGCGGTGACAGTTGCTGTGGTGGATAGCGTGACGGGCTCTCATTCGGTGGGTCTATGGACCGGATCCCCTTGGCGGCACATTTTTTGCATTTTTCAGATTTCTTGCATCTTGTATTCCTGTATGCCCCATAATGTGTATGACCCGGATATACGCCACTTCAAGACACATTCCATGCGGGAACGGTTCACAACGGGGCCTCACTCAATTATTACGCTCGCGAAATACTATCGAAGAGACTCTCTATGAAACTGGGGTTACAGCGGTTATCCGATGCTCTGATCATGAACATGACACTCATTTTCGAATATGGCGCAATGCGTCGCCAATTCGGTGCAAACGCTTTTTCGTACTAGCATCATTGTCAGTCTGCGCGACGGGGCTTATTTAGCGCCATACTGGTCCCAGATGGCCTCCGCGCCAAAAATAAGTGTCAGAACCGTGATCAGGACCATCAACTATCCCTACGTATAGAGTTACGTCGGAAAAATTTTTTCCGAGCTTTTGTGTTATGTTGCCGGCCATGTCTTCAGCTAGTGGCTATCAGCCTATCAGCCCCCCCCCCAATTAGTCGTTATTCAACATCGTTATGAGGGGCTTTTCATTTGTTAGTATGTAGACAAGAATTAACAACTACACAAAAAAGTGAGGGACATACACTGCACACCACCAATACCTTTGATATGGGAGAAACAAGATCTTTCTTCCGGGCAGGTGGTAGCGAGTTCTTTGTCGAAATGGTCGAAGACGGTAAAAGTGGAGAGTTTCAGGATGCTATAATGACTCCGAAGCCAGCATGGTGTTCTATGTAAACCTACTGAAGTTGAGAGTGCAAGAAATTTCTGGTGGTTTGTATGCCAGAGAGGATACTCAGTGGAGGGTTCGCTTGTCACTGCCATCCAAATGGTCAAGTCTATGGCCATCAAATAAACTCAAAAAAAATTTGTCCGCTGAAACCTCTTAAATAGGGGTAATCGATAGCCCTGATCAATATTCCGACAATTATTTATGGCGCCGACTCGATCTGGGGCCGCCGTGGCGCTAAATGGCCATTGCGAGCGCGAAGGGACGCTGCATAAACCCCTAAAGAAACTGCAGTGTACTTCACTGTATGCAACGTAAAGCACTTCAATTTCGACCTAATTCAACATTGTTTTTGTCTAGTTGAGGAACACTTCATAAACTTATGTATTCTGCTTTACAGCTGAAAGAGATGCGAATGAGATGATAAAACTTGAGTGTATTTTGAGCGATTTGTTTTTATTCCCTTTCGGCATTCCCAATAGCGTTTAGCAAAAATGAACCCCATCTGTGTGGTCCTTGTATGGACCCCTACAACATGCAACAAATCGTTCTGAAAATGCTCACCACGGCCTGAACGACCTCCCTTGTAAGCCCCTCAATTACGTTGCTCGGGCGGAGTTCAACAGGGTGGTCTACAGTGGCGGAGAAATCAACGATCTCGCTGAACTCATGCACCCACTGACGGTCGCGTGGCAGAATCTCTCGATGGCGCTCCTCCAGAAGGCTGTGGCGGAGTATCACGATAGTATTTAATATGCTCTTTGATATGGTTGTAGAAATGTCCGATAAGAATTTACTAAAGTGTAACTTATAGCGCCTCGAAAGTCGAGGAAGAAAAAAGTCTTTTTTCGCCCCCCCCCCCCTGTGAAGGCCGGCGGCAAAAGACGCTTCGAACGAATCACATATCAGCAAAGTTTTCGCGGCTCAGACAGAGGACGCGGACACGAGTACCAGGGCGGAAGATACCCAAGATGTTCCTCGATTACTGAGAGCAAGCTCTCGCCTATCACCTTCATGTACACCAATATATGAAGTCATCTCCAATCTCAGCCTGACTGGAGAAGGCCTTTGGGATTCATGTAACCTCCAAACAGCTGAGAACTTCATCTGTGTCACCCATGGATAGTTACCTGGAGACCAGTACTCTTGATCTGGGAGACCTCCAACATCGAGCAGCTCCGACAACTTGAATTTGGTTCAAGCGATCAACAGGTCGGATTTCGGACCTTATAAATGTGCATCGCATGGCGTGCCTCTTGGGGTGCGACTGCTCGCAGAACCAGTCGCACCCCAAGAGAACCAGTCCTATTAATTGTCGAAGTAACATCATCTGAGGGTGATGCTTGATAGTGACAAGAAAGCATTTCATAAGCTCTAACGATTCTTCAATCTCTGGCATGAATCTCCGAGAATAAAATGATTCAATGTGATCTCACAAGAAAAGGATACCAACTCGCCATGTCAGGACGAGATGTATACTCCTAGGAGTATCTTTGAACGCTGATTTCAGATCTGACTTCCAAATGTGCTAAACGATTCTAGGAGGGAAGATACGGACTCTTTACCTACTGTGCTTGACCACTGCGGTGGGCCACCTGCCCATACTTTGCGCTTGTGAACCACTCGTGACACAACCGTAACCGAAGCTCGAAGGCGCAGCAGGTGGGTGACTGGTCTCGTAGCGGCGGGCGAAGTTTCGAGTCCTTGATGCATTTCGTAGTTTTGCTTTTTCTTGAAACGTGTGCTGAACACTTGGAAAGTAGTTTTACGTACCAGTTAGGACATCAGGGGCCCCACTCCGCTCCTTATTAAGCTCTGTGAATGGCTTTTGTGAGGAACTGCACTCTCACCTATTCGCTCAAGCAGGAAGCCAAATAAACCTTCATATCTACTCCAAGCACTTGAACCAAAAGTTCTGACCTCTTTATTGTTAACAACATAACACAGGACTTCGCCATATGTAGTAGTTCTCTTCACGAACAGTCACAATATCGGCCAACAGCTGTCGGATCCTACGTTCAATAACTAGGGGGAAAGTTTTGCCTGACTTTGTAGCTATCACATCTAGGAAGAATTCTGATCCTGCAATATTGTGCGGTCACTAACCCGAAAGGAGAGGAAGACTGCGCTTTCAGTCCATAACAAAGTACGCGTGTCATTAAGGTGAATGAAGCCATAGCGTGC